GGCAGAGAGACAACCGCTGTGCACCAGCCACAGCCAGAACTGCAACAAGGACCACAGCCTGGTCCCACCAGCACCAGGACTAGCAAGGAGGAACCAGCTCCTCTAAGGTACTCCTGTAGGGTGAGCGATGCTCCCACCCTACTCTCCCATCTGAGGTCCAGGGGGGAAAGTTGGGGTCAGCTGAGGTCTTTTAACCCAAAACAGGCTGGGGAGGTGGAGGGTTGGGGTCTACATAATGCTGGCTGTGAGAGCCCCCAGGGATATGGGCTGTGGGTTGGTGTGTGCTTTGGGGGAGAATGGGGGTTAGTGCCCAAGAAAGGGAAATGTGGTCTGTTGAGAGCTTTTTTGGGTACCTTGGTGTGCATTTGCAGTTGGAAAATCTCTTTTTTTTTTTTTTGGTGGACTATGGGTTGCCCTTTGAATTTCTAGCTCTTCCACTTAAGAGTGGCTTTATTTACCGATAAGTATGAGAAAAGGGCTCCTAAGTCTCTTCTCTGCCCTTAAGAGAAAGATGCAATTAAAAACGTGGTGCTGCCCTCCAAATGGGCTGCTACAGTGGCTGATGTCCCTGTTGGTAGGTATGAGCACTGGAGCCTTCTCTGTTGCTTCTGTCTGGTTGTGTAAGAGCTGTGGCTTTACCTGAGGACTTGTCTAGGAGGCTGAAATCCTTCCTCTGCTGAATGGAGTTGGTTTTGTCAGGTTAATGGTTGGACTTGGCGATCTTAAAGGTCCCTTCCAACCTCAACAATTCTATGATTCTCTCCCTGTGTTTCCTGAAGAAAATCCTGAGTCCTTCTGTGCAAAGAAGTGAGCTCTGTGAGGTGGTTTTATTTCTGTTGGCACTTTAATTTGGAGAAGATGCTTTAAACTTGCTTGTTCGTGGGCTGACAGGAGAGTAGCGGAGCAGTGCTGAAGGGTGTCCCATGCACCCTGCACATGAAGGTGTTGCTGGATGCTGTAATGTGGGCTGATAACAGCAGATGGCTCTCAAAGCCCCTCTGAAACCTGGATAGACACTGCCAGGGAGCACAGGCTCTGGCCTGGCCCTCTACGGCCCCAGCAGGTGACAAGTAGTGGTTGACTGTGGGTGCCTAGGGCAGAAGGACTGGGACAAGACCACAGTGGTGCTCCAGCTGGTGTGTCCTCCTGGTAACCTACCGACAAGAGGTTCCTGGTGCCTCTGTACTTGTGTGCAGGAGATAACTTCACTGCAAAACCCGTTAGTGGTACTGCATACTGCAGTCCTCTACCTTACTCACCACCAACCTGCTGAGGTTGTGAGTAGGGGGCCTACATGAAAGCTTGGGAGAGCCTCTTGATCAGGGAGTGGAGTGATAGGATGAGGAGGAACAGTTTTAAACTGGAAGAGGGGAGATTTAGAATAGATATTGGGAAGAAATTGTTGCCTGTGCGGGTGGTGATCCCCTGGGGCAGGTTGCCCCGAGAAGCTGTGGCTGCCCCATCCCTGGAGGTGTTCAAGGCCAGGTTGGACGGGGCTTGGAGCAACCTGGGCTGGGGGGGTGTCCCTGCCCAGGGCAGGGGGTGGCGCTGGATGATCTTTAAGGTCCCTTCCAACCTAAACCATTCTGTGACTTAGAGTAGGGCTGAGCTCTTTCCCCGCTTTAAACTCAAGGCATAAAGACCGCACTGGTGCCTACGCTCCTCTCTGCTCCCCTGTGAGTGCCATCCTGTGGCAAGAACAGGAAAGACTTCAAGGATAGGCAATCTGCAGATGGCCACCAGCAGACTCTGCCCAGGGTGGGCAGGGGCATTTTAGGGCTTCAGAGCCTGCAGACACAGTGGTATTTGGTAAACGGCCTCTTTCACCCCAGAGCGATGTTCCCTGTCTCCCTGCAGCGTTGGCAGAGCGATGGTGGCTGCCCTCCTCCAGGAATAAATGCCCTTCTGGCTGTTGGCATCTCTGAAGTTTGTCAACGAAAGGGGCAGCTAATGCCAGGAGCGGTGACCAGGCTCCAGCCCTGCGAGCTGCTGCTGGCATCTGGGTAGAGGCTATAAACACCCTGGGTCTGTGCTTGAGGGAGAGGACCTGCTGGGGCTCTTAGCCTGGCTATGCAGACATACGGAGACCCTGGATTCCCTGCAAGCACTCGCTGCCCTTCCGTGATACCGGGTCCAAGTGAGTCTTGACTTTATGTGATGCGAAGCCAGGAACCTAATAATTCCCACAGGGTCATATAAGTGAATACATCCTGTAACTCCCTAATGAGTCCACTCTGCCTCTTACAGACACACAGGGTTTAAATTATCCGGAAAGCCTCTTGTAGCAGGTAATTTAGAAATGGAATAATGATTAATTAAAAAAATATATATCCCTGGGGGTATTGGGTCTTGTATCTTCTATCTGTAGGTGTCGAGCTCTGCATACCTTCCGCTTACCAACGAAGAAAAAGAAATAAACTTTTTCCAGCTGGGGTGGGGGTAAGCCGCAAGTGTGTAAGATGGTGTAAGTGCCTCAGTCTCAATTGTCAGGTCTCTGCATTCGCTAATTTGATCGGAGGGAAAGCGGTGGATTTGTTTTTCCCGTGCTCAGCGCCGCTGAGAGGCGAGGACCTTGCTGGCTCGTTCTGCTGAGTCACGGGCTGCTTGCTGCCTGCGCTGCCCTAACGCGCAGCGTGTCTCTGATTTACGTCTTTATGCTCCCGCTGGCCTCAGCGGTGGTTATAGGGATGTATCACGCTCCGATTGCCTGTGAAAATGAAACATAAGTTGACTTCAGTCGGAGAGCTGTGTCTGAGTTGCGAATACATACATTTGGTGTCGGTTTGTGATGAACAGAGCCGGCTGAGCTCTAATCCCCTCTCGAGCTGCAAAGTTATATGCAGAGTCGGAGCTGCTGGGGGAAGGTTTGCGCGAGCCTTGCTCCGGTGGGCTCGGCGCAGGCCTGGGTAATGCCCGCCGTTCCTGACAGCATAACAAGCGTGGCTGGGAAAACCGCTTGTGTAACGCCCGGCTCCCCGCTGCCATCTCCACGGAGAGGCTTCAAAGCGCAGCCAGCTTACGAAACCCGGCTGGCTCCCTGGTGCAGTGCCATGTCCGCATTAGCGGCCGTGCCCTGGGAAGCAAGTCTGGGGGCTGCGGCCGCCTGGGGCTTCCGTATTTAGGCAGGGGTCATCCTGTGGTCTATCAGCATGCAGTAGCATTTGGGATTGCTTCAGAAAGATCAATCCTGCCTCCTTGCTGGAAACCATTTTGAAAGTGATTAGCCCGTTTCCTTTTTTTTTTTTTTTTTTTTTTTTAAGGTGAGCTTTAACGGCCAGGTTGCAAAAGGGATCAGAGTAGTCCTGTAATGGAATTAAGCTAGTGCAGAATTTGAGTATTTATTTCAGCTAGGACCCATTATGGTTTTGCCAAAGCCATCCTTAATCTGAATTAAGTAACTGAAATGAAGCAGCTTGTGGACAGATGAGGCCCTGGGGACATCAGACTTAAAACCACTGTAACCCAGAATTCATCGTGTAGTTGCAGTTCTGCAGGTCAATTCCCACTGCAGGCGAGACCTGAGAAATCGCATCCTACCTTCTGCAGCATCTGCCACAGAAAACCTCAATACAGCTGGGGAACGAGTTACAAAACTCACCTGTGAGGAAAACAAGCCCTGTTTTACGGATAAGGAAACAGATATGGAAGGTAAAAGTTTAATGCTTTCCTTCCTAAAGGTTTCCTTTATAGTTTGATGTTAAAAAAAAGTGTCTTGTTTCCACCTAGCAGCAGTAGGGGCCAAAAGAAA